GCCGGCGCTCAGGGGCGGAGGGGGTGCCATCGCTGGGAATCTCAAGCAGTGGCGAAGCGCCTAGGTTTGCCTATCGGCCCACCGAGGGATATTTTATGAACGAGTTGTGTTTTCTCACGACCGTCCTGTTTCAATACATGGGTTCTTCATGTTCTAAGAACATAGCTTTCGTTATCAGAGCGAGCTGTTCTAAGGAAAGTTGGTGGTTGGTCTGTAGGAGTGCTGGGCCGATCGGCCCTTGTTCTCAAAGTCGGCCGTTCGTCATGAGACCGTTTGTTCGTTCCCTTGTGGTGGAGGGCGTCGACAGGGAGGGCGAAGACTTTGGAGTATATTCGTTGAGCGAAAGCCGTCTAATCTAGGACAACTTAGATGGGTATTCCAAGTGCTCGCAACTTGAGCCAGAACATTACAGCGGAGTGCTCTGTCGATCGCTCCGCCACTGGTTTCCGCGGACAGATCCTGTCGAGACGTTTTCGTTAAAAAAACGTTTCGACAGGAAGTGGGTTCCAGGGCCGCTTCGAGGTTTTTTTTTATCCGATACGCCGAACAATCCGATACATACATATAGCATATATATACATACATATATATATATGTTTCACATAACATTTTTTCTAGGACACATTGGACCTCATTTTAAATTTGCCGGTCCGATGTTACTGCGACACCGTTAGCGGTTCAACATGCAATTTTATATTGAAAAGCCATGTGTGACGCACGACCGGCAGAGGACAGCAACACTTGACGAATTCGCCCATGCGTATCATGTCCACCACATTGACATCCCAATATTCTAGTACCATACACAATCACGAACGACGCGGGCACGACGCGAGACAGTTTGCAACCTATGATATGTTCCACCATGAGCCACAATACAGACAAAACACGTGTCCAGTTAATGTGCTTCGGGTGGTCCAACATTTTGTGTTACACCAGTGAATTACAGTATACTCATGTTTTCGGTCAAAATATCTGACATCATACAGTTGGATCTAAAACGGTACGAACGTTTGTGCCTCATTGTTATCATTGCTTGCGTAGTGGTTTTGTCCCAAGACGTTGTGAACCATGGTGTGGCATACCGCGTATTCCACAACAGAGTCCAGTCCTTCTTGCACTTGTAATGGTATATGTGTATCCCTGGCTCGTCTGTGTTAATTCAAGCTTCGCGCGGCCCGTTTAGCTTCGACCAGAAGAGGTACGCTCTCGACCCGCGAATCAAAAAATGCATCCTTGGTTCGTCAGTTTCATGTCGTGTAATTTGTGCCATGGGAACTTGCCGTGTTCTTGCCAACGTTTCTGCATGATCCGTTTTTTGCGTGATATGTGTTTGATGTTGCTGATGTTGCTAAAGCATGAAGTTTTTCATTCGTTTGCGGCCCATGGATCTCGAGCAGCAGTGGCGACGCTGGAGCAGCTAGGCCAAACGCAAGCAGATGTGCGCCAGCAGCTCGACGCGGAGAGAGTCCTCCTCCTCCTCCTCCTCCTCCTCCTCCTAGAACGCCCTTTGGACAGGTCTTTGGGAGGCTCTTTAGGGGCGGAGGGAGGGTCAGAGGGGACGGAAATTCGTTGTTGGGCAGCGTCCCCGTATTTTCCGTCTCCACTACGGTGAAGTCGGGCGTGTCCTTCTACAGGAGGAATATTCAAGAATAGTCAAACACTAGTATGGGGAGGTTTTTTGTGGATTATTTTTGAGTATTTTAGGGCATTTTCTATAATTTTTATTTTTCGTCGAAAATCCCCCTGTAGGGGGACAGGCCCGACTTAACACTACGGGCGTGCCAAGGGATCCTGGAGGTTGTTCGCGGTCTGCGGGTTCCTGGTACTTTTTCTTGGGAACCCAGGTCGTCAGGTAACGTCTCGGGATGGGAAGCCGGTTTCGGGGAGAGTTCCGGGAGCCAGGGCTCAGGGCTCGCCTTCGTCGTGCCATAGTCGGAGCGTCGATGCGAGGAGCGCGTTTGGCTCGGAGGGCTTCCCCGCGTTCCTCGCGGCTCCTCCCATGCGCCCCGGCATTTTGTGATAGCTGCCTATAACCACAGTTCTCGTCGGCTCCTCACCCGAGGGAGGGTGGAGGGGACAGCGTGGGGAGGAGGAGAGATGACGGGGAGGAGAAGGGCGTGACTTTGGAAAGGGGGTGGTGGAAAGGGAGAGGGTGATGGCGAGCTAGGCGCACTTGCGTCACATCTGACATCCGTCGACTTAGCTGAGCTTGCTTGTAGTACATCGTCTATTAGCCTAGCTTAGGCCAGCCTTGCTCAGGTTAGTTGAGCCCGGCCGAGTTGCGTAGCTAGGCATAGTTAAGACCAGCGAGTGATAGTGTAGATGGCATCTGTTTATCTATCCTGACGCATAATGGTTTTGGCCCTCCTTCGGTGTTCAAGCTTGCCAAGTCCAGGCTTCTCTTGGAGGTCTCTTCGATCTTTCTTGGGGCTCTCGTAGGGCCGTTTCGTAGGAGATTGTGGCCATGCTGCAGGCCATCGACCGAAAGGATGGAGACACTTGACGCCCCGGATCTCTTGGGACTCTCTTGGGATGTTATCAAGCCTTGGGAGCATTTGCGGCCCTCTTGACACCCTTTTTGGGCCCACCGTAAGCCGAAATGGAGAGAATACGAGCATGTTTCAGAGTTTGCTGAGTTCCCTCTCGGGGAGCTTCGCATCCGTGGGAGAGGCGGAGAAACTTCTGAACTACATGCGAGCCTCTTCGGGCCATGCCAGAGACCAGCTTGAGCCATGCTGTGCAATCGCTTAAGGCAGTACCATAGCCGTCTTTGGCCACCGCGGACATCGAGATGGGGATCAGGCTGGTTTTGCAAGAGTTGGTGCCCTAATCCACTTTCGCGCAGATGGCTGCATGGCGGGATTCAATATGACAACGTACGTCTGTGGCCCTTTCCGACATTATTGACAGGATCCTTCGAGAGGATGCCTCCCTCCCGCGCGCGTTTCTGCTCGCAGGATACCGGCGCCCCGCCCCTCGCGCCAGAGGCCGTCGCCAGCATGTATGGGCATGGCCAGAGGTTACGCGAATCGTCGAATTCGTTCGCGCGGGGAGACTCTCAGAACTTTGGCAACCACCTCACCTCGGCGCTACGGGGCCCAAGCATATGCACCACCACCGCGTCCCTACCACTCCCGCCCCCTCCCAGGGGAGCGGAGAGGAAGCAGAGGGAGGCTGGCGGAGGGGATGGGCGATGAAAATGGTGGTGGTGGTGGTGGTGGTGGTGGTGGTGGTGGTGGTGGTGGTGGGGGGGTGGGGGGGGGGGGGGGGGGGGGGGGGGCGGTGGTGGGGGTGGTGGGGGGGGGGGGGGGGGTGAGGTGGTGGTGGCGGTGGTGGTGGCGGTGGTGGTGGCGGTGGGGGTGGGGGTGGGGGGGTGGGGGGGGTGGGGGGGGGGGAAGGTGGGGGTGGTGGTGGTGGTGGTGTGTGGTGTGTGGTTGTGTGGTGGGGGTGGGTGGTGGTGGTGGTGGTGGTGTGGTGGTGGTGGTGGGGGTGGTGGGGGTGGGAGTGGGGGGGGGGGGGATTGGTGGGTGGGTGGGTGGGGTGGTGAGGGGTGGGGGGGGGGCTGGGGGGTGGGGGGGGATGGGTGGGGATGGGTGGGGGTGGGTGTTTGGGGTGAGGGTCAGGACGCCCCTCCCGCCCGCAAGCCGTCTCGCTCACCCCACCGCCCCTCCCAACACATACGTAGCACCCGAGCCTGGCCCGAGCCGCAGCATATTCAGCAGTCGTCTTTGGATGGGCAGCTACTGGGGCCTGCCGCCGCCGCCGCCTCCGCCGCCGCCGCCGCCGCCGCCGCCGCGCCGCGCCGCCGCCGCCCTCGCCGCTGTCCGCCGCCGCCGCCGCCACCGCGCCGCCCGCGCCGCCCGCCGCCGCCGCCGCCGCCGCGGCCCGCTGCCGAATCGCCGCAACCGCTGCCGCCGCAGCAGCTGCCGCCACCGCTGCCGCCGCCGCCGCCGCCGCCGTTGCCGCCGCCCCCCCGCCGCCGCCGCCGCCGCCGCCACCGCCGCCGCCGCCGCCGCCGCAGCCGCCGCAGCCGCTGCCCCCGCCGCAGCCGCCGCCGCCGCCAAATGTATTCTGTATCGTTTTTTTGAGGCCGCATCGGGTTCGTTGCGCATGCTCCGAATTTGGTTTTAAAGGGATGGTGGGGGGTGCCCTCATGGACTCGGGTTGGCTCCCAGTCGCCTGGGGGAGGGGGTGTATACTAATAGGGAACAGTGATCAAGTCAGCCAGCTCGAACGAACCAGAGGGTTCCGTCCACCCCCACCCGCCCTCCCACAACGTAAGAAGCAAGTGCGTCGCGTCCGACGCCTGTCGCTCATCTTATATCGTGGGCGGCCTGACGTTCAGCGCGCGACATGAGCTGCGTCCTATTCCTGCCGCGTATTGAGCAGCGCCGACGAGAAGCATGACCGCGCGCGACCCGCTCCGGCCTCTCATGTTGCATCTTCGGCGGCAACATGTCCAGCGTGCGAAGTGCGCCGCGTCTCATTCCAGCCACGCGTGTTGTAACGCCAATCGTTTCGCTCCTGCCGCGCATGGAGGAGGGGGAGGAGGAGGAGGAGGAGGAGGAGGAGGAGGAGGAGGAGGAGGAACTCTTGGCCCGTCTGACGCATTCGGAAACCCTTTTTCCGGGCCCCTCTGGGCCATGCTGGCGACGTTCTGCGGCACTTTAGGGCCGTCTCGGGGCCGTCTGGGGAGTCTCTTGGGCGATCTGGAGGTCCTCTTGAGCCGACTTGGGGCCCTCGTGGGGGCCTCTTGGGCTATCTTGGAGTTGTCGTGGAGGCCGCTTGGGCCTTCTGGAGCGGTCGGACACCCGAACAGGCGGAAACTTCAAAATCTGCCAAGCACATCAAGATTTGTGGCGGGAGTACCGCAGGGTCGCGCGTCGACGTTGCTGTGTGTTTGATAGGACGGGGGGTCCCGCGTAGGGTTGGCCAGGCGTCCGCGCGCGATGCGCACCGCGTCCCATTCGTGCTATAGCTTTCGCAGCGTCGACGAC